GCTGAGGCCACATGACCAAAGAGAAAGCACAAATAAAGGCACAGGACAAAGAAGAAAAATTACTTTCAGGACTTCCACATTCTTACTAGTTTGTTTAAATTAATAATATCTCTGATCATTAAATTATTTATCACTACTCAAACAAAAAGAAGCCCTCACATACAGAGAATGAAGAAAGTTTGCACCGAGGCCTACATTTACTTCTCGAAAACTCCGTGGACATCAGGACATGAACTGTGAGCTCACTCTCTTGTGGTTGGTTTTGGAGCGTTGTAATGCCCAGTCCCAGAATTAGTTAGTGTCACTGTGCTAAGTCCTAGGATTTCTCAGGAAGGTTGTTATACTCTATCAGAGAACCAAGGTTGAGAAACCATGGGAAGAAAGCTAGCCAAGAAATCCCCGAATATCCCTGGACATTTCCTCCGAGTTACCACTTAAAATTTATTTTCTGAAGAGAAATAGTTTAGATGTTGGGACCGAGCAGTTGTTTATGAAAGCTGAGAAGCTGATTTCTTTAAAAACAAATCAGGTTGGAGAGAATTGCTCTTTTACAAAGTAAAATGTCTAATGCAGGGTACTCCCTTCTGGCCCCTAAAAAGATTTTTGCATGGACCTACAACCTGCCTACATACACACAATTAAAACTAAAAATAAGTCTCTAAAACATAAGAAGAATAGCATCAGAAGTGATGTAATGGTCCTTTACAGGACTTTATGGCTGGTTCACTGGAAATCCCACAGAACAAATTATTTTTGATTATGTAACTATAGAGTTGTAACAAAGGCCTCATGCATGACCTGTCTGTCAATTCCAAATTCTATGCATTCCAAATCTGTGTCAATTCATCCATTTTTGCACACATTTTTATTGTATCAGTTTCCTCTGGACCCCCACCTCAGTTTGAAGGTTCGATGCCCAAGTAGTGCCAAACAGTGACCCCCTGTTTATGTCAGCTTTCAGGCAATTTTCTCATGCCCAAGGTGCTGTGTTCACACTCAGTTCTCGATTCTCAGTTTCTCTAATAAGATCATAATTTTCACTTATAAATTCTATAGGTAGTAGGCCAGTACAGTTTGAATCAGAGATATATAGGATACTATATAATTATGTGTCTTCAATAATTTCAATAATTAGTGTGTTTAAAAGCACAAGATTTGAAATACATATTTGATGGATAAAATGAATGGCTGTCTTTGTAGATAAAAGTTTGAGTGTAATGAGGGGATACAGTTGAGATGCTGAATGAGGTGTTCTTCTAGATGTGGATGTCACCCAGAATTATGTCCACACTAAGACTGGATGGGACAACATCAATCCAGGATTCATGGTAATGACAAATTCGCAGACAAATGATAGCAACAAGAAGAGACATAGTATACAGCTATATGGTGGGCATAAAAAAAAAACAGCAGGAAGTAAGGATGCAGTGCCCAGAACTCAGGGCAAGTGGACCATCAAGCCAAGGATAACTGGAATGCAGTTCTCATCATTGACAGAGTGAGGGGGTCTCCAGTGCCACTTCTAGTCAATGTATGAAGGTAGAAGCAGTGTTCTGAAAGAAAGTTTAATATGTAGTGAAGTTTGCCATCCATGGAGTAAAGGGGAAATTCGGAGTAGAAGGATTTGAGAGCCATGAGAGGGGAAAGAGAGATGAGAGAGTTGAAGGTTAATGGAAGGCAAGTGGGCAATGAAGAAATGACACCGTGGGAATTTTATTGCGGCAGAATGTTGGTAATTTATGATATGGCAACCCAGACTCCTGGCACCGAAACTCAGTAGAAAGGGATGAGAGGATGTGGTCGGGTCAGTGACTTTAGGGACATGCTGCCCTTTTGAGGTTAGGTGCTGAGGACAGGACCTGGCTAAGAGTGAAGTAAAGCCTTAGAAAACCCCACAGGGCTCAACCAGAGGACGCCCTGCTTAGGAAGTTCTTCCAGTAGAAGGGAGCTTTAATTTATGAAATGCTAACGTGTTTCTAAAATATCAACTTCTATGAATGCTTGCACCAAGAAACACAGGGCTTTGTCCCTTATCACTGTCATCTCAGGGGTCTCTCAGTGTTTTAAGGTTATAAGTTGAATTTGGTATGAAAAAAAAGTCATTAAGCTACCTTTTCCCCTTAATCTAGTTTATTTCTCACTGCTGAGAAACTATGATTTAACATCTATCTTGACATCCATATATTTTCCAAAAGCATGTAATTAAAAATCAAGAGGCTATGTAGATATTGAATCTTCATCATTTCAAAAACTGTGTGTTGATACCGGCTTGACAACAGATTGTGAGTGAGTCGAATGTAAACAATGTGACTGTGAATAGTCCCATGTACTATGAGTATTTAAAAGGATCCTTTGAGTTTTCTCTGGTAGTATTACTAAGTTGCCATCCTTTGATTTTGGGAAGGGGATTTGAGAATTGTCTATAAATGACTTACCACATTATTTTAATCCTCTTATAAACCTTTTGAAACATTGTATGTCACTGTCCGAGGCTGTCATATATTTACATGGTCACACACCAGTACCAGGGATAGATGTTTGTTGAATGAAACAGTCATCACTACACAATATTACATGACTACCTGAAAAAAAAAAAAAAACATGGCATCGAATTCAAATCACATTTAACCGGTTCATGAAGCTCTAAGGTTGAGCCAACTTGAGTTGGTTTCTGTTGGTCTAAACTGGTGTATACAAAGTATCATGGACTCCTATCTCAGCTTAGGCAGTTTGGTACCCTCACTAAACTGCAACTCATGGTCAGCTTCCCTCACACTATCCTGCACATATTTCCATCACTTCATGGAAATGCAGGCCTGAGCAAATAAACAATAGTGTGGATTGTTCAGCCTCCAGATGTGTCAATAGCCTGTGGTTCAAAAAGAAGCCGTGTGGGCAAGTCAAAAGTTAAAGCAACAGGGTATTGTAAAATTACATGCAATGGACATTGATTAAAAAGGATGCAACAGATTTGCAGCCTTTAGTGTGATCATTATTCTGTACAACAGACAGAACAAATCAGTTACAGAATGACACCAAGAGTACTGAACTGGTGGCCAGGAGTTATAGCCACACCATTTGTTTTGTTAACCTGGATGAATCAGGTCCTCATACTGGACTCTCATTTCTTTATATATACTTCCCAAGATAGATAAGCCTTTTGTTCTATAAAACCAAGATTTAATGTGTTAAATTCTATACATAATCTATATTGTCTTTAGAGACAAGTTCATTGTCTTATCCTCAGTGCCAAATTTGCTAATGTAAATGGCCCAAACTGTCTGGCTAATTTTAACTACAAATCTGTTAATGTTTTATAATCACATTCAAACTAGTAAGTTTCTAGTCTGGATTTGATTATAAAACAAAGGACTGGAGTTTAATTTCCCCCTTAGGTCTTCAGTGTGGAATTATAAGTGAAGTATCTTTTGAACTATGCAATGTGTCAGTATAATGTCAAACATTATGACATGTCCTATGTGAGTTACAGGAGACCATTGATGTGTGCCTTAATAATTCATCATGTTGAATTCACTATGATGAATTATTATTCTCAAATTGGCCAGAGGATGTAGATGTAACCAACCGTCTTATTAAATAAGAAACACAGAAACAATGTAAAAGAGAAAGCCGAGAGGTCAGAGCTCAGAGCTAAAATCTCACCCTTCCTCCTGCTGTCCCAGCTTCGCGAAAAGAGACCTACTTCCTGTCGGTTCGTTTTTTTATAGTATGTTGTTCTGCCTTCTCATTGGTTGTAAACCCAAACACATGACTTCCTCGTCACTGTCTGAATGTACAGCCCCCTAGGTCTTAAAGGCATATGTCTCCAATGCTGGCTATATCCCTGAACACACAGAGATCTTATGGGATTAAAGGCGTGTGCCACCACCACCACCACCACCACACTCTTGCTATGGCTCTAATAGCTCTGACCCCCAGACAACTTTATTTATTAACATACAATCAAAATAATAATTCAGTACAATTAGATTACCACCACAAGAGGACTTTGTCAAATTTTCAAACTTCTGATTGAAGTGAGTATAAATTTAGAGCAGATATTAAAATTTCTTCTAAATAAAGCATAGAGATAAATGGGGCTGGAAAGATGGCTTAGTTGTTAAGAGCACTTGTTACTCTTCAAGAGAACCTGGGTTTGAAACCCAGAACCCACATAAAATCTCACAACTATTTGTAACTCTAGTTCCAAGAGATCCAATGCCACCTTCTGGCTTTCTTCAGCACCAGGCATGAAGGTGATACACAAAACACTCATACACATAAAATTTTAAAATAAAAATAAATTTTAAAAAAGAGTAAAGCTAATGCAGGATTGATCTGTACTTATGTAATTTATGACAGAGTACTGCATTGCCTGGCTATAAAGATAACAGCTGGGTAAGAATGTTCTGAATGTAAAGTATTTTATAAACTTCATAAGGAAAATAGTTTCTGGAGATTATTTTCTTATCTAGAGCAACTTTTTTCCCTTTTATTTATTCTTCTCTCATACAATTTATCCTGACTGCAGCCTCCCCTCCCACCCCCTCCCACCTTCCCTCTCCCCCATATCCACTCTTCCTCCATTTCATTCAGAAAAGAGCAGCCCTAGCAATATCTACCAAACACGGCATAACAAGATGTAATAAGAATAGGCAAATACCCTCATATCAAGGCTGGTTGAGGCAACCCAGGAGGAGGAAATGGATTCTAAGGGCAGGCAAGAGTCAGAAGCAGCCTCCACTCCCACTGCTAGAAGTCCCACAAAACCCCAAGCTAAATGATCTTTTTTATTCTAGTCACTTGGCTACCTCAGAACTCCCACACTTAGATTACTAAAATACATCGAGACACTTCTGATTTATAGCTTGCTTTGGCATATAGAATGTTCTTTTTCAGACACACAGAAAGGACTTGCTATATGATAAATGTTTACCCTTGATGTATCTCTAGAAGGCAATTATTTGGGACTAATAATTTACTTGTCCTTGCCATGTCAGAGTCACCATGCAGACAGAGCCAAGAAACTTCACCCCGATCAAGGTGGCCCACACTCAAGAATACCGGTTGGTTTTCGGAATGATTTGCCCGATGTGGAGAGGCAGAAGAGCAAGCATGAGCCACTGCAGTAGCAAGCACCAATGTGACTGCAGGTCAGTTCAAAGCACACTACTGTTTCAACTCCCTCTCTGACAAGGGTACAATGCACAAGTTCTTGCTTCCATATTGTTTGGAATACAGAGCATATGTGTAGAAGTCAGAGGTCAGTGTTGGGAATCTTCCTTGGGGCTCTTCACCTTTTCTTTTTTGAGACACAGCTTTCGAATGCGTGTTTTGCCTGTGTTTATATCTGTGTACCACATGCATGCAGTACCCTGGAAGGCTAGAAGAGGAAGTCAGATCTTGAGAGATTGGAAATGCAGAGGATAATAATTACCCTGTGGGTACTTAGAGAACCTGAGTCCTCTGTGAGAGCAACACTCAAGTACTCAACCACTAAAAAAAATCTTTGAAGCTCTCCACTTTATTTTTTTTTAATGCCGAGTGTCGTTTATTGAAGGAGGGAAGAGGTCTTAAATACAGGCTTTCAGCACAATGGGAGAACCACGGAGGGCAGAAGTTTGCTACCAATGTTTTACAATCTTGCATCTAAGCTGTTAACACCCATTATGCAGGATACACAGACAAGGAACTTCCATTAAGCATTCAGGAGGGTGGAACCCAGCAGGGAATTACCATAGGGAGGATATCAAGGTCAAGGTCAGCAAGCAAGGCAACAGTTACCCAAAATGGGAGCCAGAGCCCTACAGGTCCCCCTTTTACTAAAAAATGAGCTTCTGACTTAGGTTGCATGGGACATCAGCAAGTCACCTTACCCATCATGGAGACACATGCCCAGGCCACACAGGTGCTCTGTCTTAGGTTGGTGAGCACCCTCCAGACATTACCCATCTCTGAATACTCATTATCATTCAGGCTCATTTTTGTGTGAGCTGCAGAGTTAACTGCTGCCAAAGATCTCAAAGTGGCACTGGGCTTGCAATCTGTGTGTTTGACACATAAAAGACCAACAAAAGTCCTAACCCACCCATAGCCAGTAGGCTAAAGGCAACTGAGCCATTCCCTTCTTTAAGGAGCCTTACTGCAAATTGGAGTCCTTGTAAGACAGTATCCCACTTTATTTTTTGAGGCAGGGTCTCTCACTAAATCTGGAGCTCATCAATTCAGCCAGGCTGACAGGCTAGCCAGGGACCTTCCTGTCTCTGCCTCCTCCAGCTCTGGAGTTCCTCACGTGGGTCAGTGTTCTTGCCTCTCTATGTGGGTGCCAGGAGTCTAAACTCAGGTCCTCATGCCTCACAGAAGACATTTTTCTGACTCGGCCCTGGCCCTAATCATAATATTTTTATATTTATGCTAGATGAATAAGAAAGTTTTAATGGATTTAAAGAGGTTATGATAACTGAGTTTTAACCAGCCCTCAGACCTTATCACAGAGAAGTTTCTTTACTCGGTGGATAATGATTAACACAGAAACTCATAGTCAAAGTGTAGAGAATAAGTGACTGATAAGTGATTAGCCACAAATAGGATATCTATATCTTGTATCCCTCTGAAAGAAGCTCAGGGATCATCATGGGAGATGGAGTATGAGGATGGTAAGACCCAGAGGTTGGGGAGGATCAGAGCTAAACTGTCTTCTGGACATGACAGCATTACTGTGCAAATAAACTCACGGTGGTTGTTGTTGCCTGTACATGCTGGCACAAGACCAAGCTAATCATCACTTTAGCGGAGTGGGAAGAAGTTCATCGAGCCTTGGACAGATGATAACTTCTGGAGGAGGAAGAGTTAGTTTTCTTTACAGGTGTGGCTCCTGGCAGGTCAGCACACTCCAGTGTGTGACTCCATACCCAGGACTGTATGCGCAGCACAGATTGGAGTCAATGGATTACTAGGCAAATACATTTAAAAACAGATAAAATAGGAGGACACCAGTTTGGGGTGAGTAAGGAGGTAGAGATGATCTGTGAAGAATTAAGGGAAAGAATTGTGGGTGAATGTGGTAAAAAATATGTAATATAAAATTCATAAAGAATTAATAAAAATATTAAAAAGAACAAGCTAGTCAAATGCGGACTTGAATTCTGATGGTTTAGTTTGTAGAGGAGGTGCTGTGGCATTTTCCATGTCTACTGAAGACAAAACAAGATCAAATGAACTTGCAGGGGACTGATCAGAATCAATTAAGTTACCAGACTAACTTCCATATGGTGGGAATCTGGCATTCCTTTGCAAGAGAAATGAAGATTTTTCTCTTTTTTGGCAATATTTTAGACACACCAAATCAGCTCAATTCCTGTGACACTTATCTTCAAAACTTCACATTTGGTTTGTAGGAAAAATGAAATTAATTATTCTTAAGCATATGGTTTGTCCCCCCCCCCATTTGATTTTGTAATGCATATGATTTTTTTTTTCTCCAAGGACATATAAAAGTCAAAATACTAGATCTAGAGTCTCTGAAGTGCTTCCGCTCCTAACCCTGTCTGTACAATCTGAGTTCTTTCAAGTAGTTAGCTTACTAGCTTCTGACACTTCTATAAAAATATCCCATAGAGCTTTTCTTATTACGTTTTCATTGACTCTCTCCGAGTGATAAAATGAAATTCTGTAAAGGGCTTTGAAAACCATGCATATTGCAATTCCTCCACATTTCAAACACTAATCAAGTGTGACTATAAAAGAACCAACCACTACAGTGAAAATTGCCGGAGCGGGTTGAGACTCAAGCCATTATTAATTCATTGGAAACTATTTTTTCTTTAAGATTATGGATCCTACAAAGTACCAGATAACACAATTCCTGAGATCAAAGTTTTTTGTTTCAATCACAGGGAACTTGGGTATCTAATCTTCCCAGCGTGTGCATTTCTAGGATGGTACAGCGGCGGCCCCAGCTGTGCCCTGAGTGAATAATGCGGAGTATTTCATAGACCAGGGAAGCACCCAATCTTACTCAGTGCCCATAAAGGATGGCTTTAAGGACAAAAGGAGCCTCGGATTAAAATAATAGGTCTAGACTAGTGAGACTTCTTAGCTTCCTACAAGAGAGTAAAGTGAAATTTCCCTTTGTAGGTTAATTTCAACATGTATCAACTTGAAAATTACCCACTATGAGTGTCCGCAGAGTATTTTTATTTGCTTTCCCATCTTCAAAGGCAATCAGGTTGGAATCTTCAGTATGAGCTATCATGGCCCGACAGTCCTATACATAAAAATAAAAGAGCAAAGTAGAGCAGAAAGAAAATTTTGCCAGCTTTGTTTTATTTCATGTAGTATATAGAGCTTTATTAAAAAATAAATAAACCGGTGAATTTGACTCACACTCACTATGCTTGGTGTGGAATTTTTTTTTCTGAATATGCAGTAGCCTCCTCTTGAGTTCAAGAGGAGCAAATGAAAGCCTTTCTAAGCTGCTTTCCCAACTCCTTTTTCTTTAAGACAGGGTCTTGCTATATAGCCCAGGCTGCCTCACCACTCCGGTCCTAGAACTATAAATATGAACTACCACAGTGATCCCCCCCCCCAAATTCCTAGATATTTGTTAATGAATTCCTAGCTTCTTTTGTTTGTGAAAGTGGTAGCTGTTGAACTGTTTAGCATATCTCAGATGAAAAATTACAAGTCATCATTAGAACAGAGGTGCTACTTTTCTGATTTTGTGTCTCCAAAATACCCAGCTTTGTCCATCAGAGGTATGAGATGGAGCCTTTACTGATATATATATCTGATGATAACAAATAGAAGATTATTGAGCTAGTCAGTCATTGTAAACAATTAGAGGGATTTTGCTAAGTAACCAAACAGAAACTAGGCAATAGCAATGGGATCCACCATAGTCAGATTCAGAAAAACTGACTCTGGACAGTACTGCCAGCCCCATTTCTTTTCTCTAAGACGCTGCTGAAGGCATTTCACTGACCCCACAGATGACCTTCTGTGGGCCCTTAATTTACTCTAATAGCTTGGTGATTCTCACATCATCTTTTAGCAACATCATCATTAACTCTGCATGTTTTGTCTATAAATAAGAGCACAGCTCTCTGAAAGTGCCATATGTATGTGGTATGAGGGTAAAGTTCAGACCTCTGCAATCTTAGTGATGACCGCTCATTTTAAAAACTTGCTACTCCACTTGCTCACAGTGTGCCATGAGCAATTTGTTAAATTCTCTGTGTTTGTCAAATTGGGTCCATAAGAGTGCCACACCATAGGCTGAAAGTTAACTTAACACACAGTAGACTCCAACTATGTCAATGCTGCAAGAAGCTACTGACTGACCCGATGAGTTGATTTCTAAGAAAACATTCTTTTCCAACAGTACCTCTAAGAAGTCTTGATGCTGTGGTTCTTTGTGGGCATTGAAGCTTAGTTTGCATTTTTTTTCCTTTGAGAATTGTGCCATCTTGGGATTTTTGTAGCTATGGACAAGGGAGAGGAATCCCTCCTTGGCTAAGTCACTAGTTCCTGAGTCTAAAAAGCATTGCTACCATGGCATTGCCTGGGTGATCTGATCCCAGTGTTGTCCTCTTCCTCCTTGGCAATGATGAGTAAACAAGAGTGCTGTGCCCGGCTGTTCAATCAGCTCAAGAGCTATTTAAAGTAGCTGACAGGTGTTAAGCAGAAATGTTTGCATTAAGCAGGTTTTTTTTTTTTTCCACACCCAGATCCCTGGGTTGATTTGCACAATGCAAGTTGATTGGGAAGTGATCTCAGGAAAAATACTCAAGGTGGAGGAATCCAAACAGACTTGGGCAGAGGGAGAAGATGAGTCCTGATACAATCATACAATTGCTAAAAGGCTTCAGGGTATGTCTCAGGGAGCTCGGGAATAGGCGTGACTCTTTGAAGGTGCCCTGAGTTGGGGCAGTCATCTGTCCTTCCTACATCCACCAGTCATTGCATCAGCTGTCCCTGCCACTGGCTGTGATTATGGATAAGGAGGCTTCTTCCGGCCCAAAGCAAAGTCATTCAGGATAAGAGGATTAATATTTACCTGGGAGAAGGGACTTATTATGTGCATTACTCATTAATTACTATGATTGCTTCTGGTGAATTCCCTGGATGTACAGGGATCTATT